TATCTTTGTCAGTTTGTCAAGTCACCAATCTCACTACCTTGATCTCCAAAACAATCTCCAAAACAATATGTGAGCCTGTGTTTTGATGGCCTAAACTTGTAGTTCAAATTGAATAACTGGTCTTACCACTAATTCACGTGATAGGCAATAAATTCATTGGGGTGGACTAAATCTCATCGTTTAATTGTATCAGAAGCCAACTGCCATAAGGATTAACTGGGTGGAATAGACCTCGAACCAATATGGTGATTAAAGCAGCAGAAGAAAAAAGAATAATACAATATAAATTAAAATGAGAATGGGATATAAGTTATAGTTGGTTGACCCTCCTTTGTCATGTGCCTTGTATTAAATTTAAAATGGTTAAAATGACTTGGAGTGCAATGCAGCAACAGAAACAGATTTTGGTTCAACAATACCTGATCAAATCAGCAATAGAAATAATCTTCAAGTTCTCAGCCTGTGCAAATTGACGAAGCCTTGGTAACCTAGCCATGGAACCATCATCATCCACAATCTCACACAGTACTGCAACAGGGTCCAATCCAGCCAATACGACTAGATCGAGTGAAGCCTCCGTATGCCCATCTCTTTTCAGGACCCCTCCCTCCCTATACTTCAATGGAAAGATATGACCTGGGAGGTTGAAATCCTCTGGTTTAGAATCTTTAGATGCAAGAGCTAATATTGTCATTGCTCTGTCATGGCTGAGACACCTGTTGTTGTACCATATCTTGCATCCTACAACATCCAATCGATTGATATCAAATGAGATGAGGCAAGCCATAATATGTTTTAAAGAAAAATAATAACTCATTGTCTGAATATTGACTCGATTAATATTTGTAAATAAAAAATAACCAGTAGAAACAGATCAACAATGAACTTTTCTCATATTAATCCCTGCGGTAATGCCCCATATTGGTTTCAAGAATCCCTTTTTCTTTTAGAATCATTATTACAACATGGAGAAAGATGGGTTTGAGTGAGTTAATAAATGAGCTGACTGAAGCATGGACATGCAATATACATTGGACAACAAAGTGTAGGACCATATGCTGGTTGCTTTAATTGTGGAAACCTGTTTATGAAACAGAAAGATCTGAACTGCCTTTGTTTCGGCAAGGGCTTAAAAGTTTCATGTATTAGATACTAATTGCTTCTATATTACGCAAATTTTATCCATGAGTGGTATGAACATGACATAGTAGCTAAAGGTTCGATGCAACTAAGATACAGCTCATAAAATTACTACTTTAAACTTCATAATTCTATACAACAAAGATTCCAACGAGATTGAAAGGGAAAAGAAAGGTGAAACCATTACATATACAAACAATTTATCTATGTATTGGATGCATTTCACTGATGTAGTTTGTACATAAACTCCTAAATATGCCATTTCATGTAAAGATCTACCAACTGTGAATGAGGTGAGAGAGAATTTGATTTTCTTAACAGAGTTATTAGCTTCTTTGAAAATAATAGCAACAGCCACTGAACATAATCAAGAGGAAGTAAACCACTTACCACTGTTACTGTGAAAGCTGTACAAAGTTTCTCATCATTCTTCTTTTGCTACACCATCAGAGGAAGTTGCAATCTCTCCAAGTCTTCTTCTTTCATGCTCACACAAACTATCCCAGTTCCATGCTTTACAATAAAGGCCATAGCTTCTGCAGTCATCAGTGAAGATGCCATTATTAAATCCCCTTCATTTTCTCCGTCTTCATCATCCACGACAATTACAAACTGCAAGATCATCCCAACCTAGTGAAATATGTAGCAGGTCAAAGCTTTTATTGGACCAAGAAGTTAATTAGTTAAGCAGACAACTAACCTTGCCTCGACGGATGTCTTCAATGGCCTCTGGAATTGAAGAAAAACCTTCAGTAGGACTATCAAGGTCAAACTCATCATCATCAGCACCAAAACCACTAGCATCAGGTTGCATGTCATTCCCAGTCGGTTGGGCTGCCAGATCAGTGGCAAAGGTACCACGTCCGGCAACAGCCTTGCTGCTAGGATGAAATAAGAGATCACCTTTTGCAGACATCAGTGCAACTCTGGTTCCATCTTCTCCTTTGAAACCATAGCATAATTTTCTTGTGAGACTACTTGAGACCAAATCCAACACGTACCCATTGGTTGCAGATGGACAAATCTGACGTGTAACCGTAACATAATTTGAAACCATATGCTTTTTGAAGGAAGGAAACAATTAGCCATATATCTGGGGAAAAAGGAGTAATTTAATCTAAGAATTTATATAATTTGAACCGGCATGTGAAATGTCATTGCATGTGTTTAGTAAAAAAAATTAGCACTTGAACATAACCAAAAATGTGTTCAAAACCACATACTAGTGATCAAACCAAGCACAATATGTGTTCAAAACCACATATTGGAAGTCACAACAATAACATGTCTTACAGCATCCAAGAGTTGATCGTACAAATGGAATTCCTTCTCTCTCCTTCTAAGCTTCTCACAATATTATATCCTCCAAGAAAACAATGATGCCTCTTCATGTCACCACCAACTCCCCAACACATAGAGACATGTTCCCATCTATTGCACGAGAATGTTAGGAAAGAAATTGTGAAAAATCATATAGACAAGTTATACACTAGCCATCAAGCTACTGTGGTGTAACAATTCTACTTGGAACCAACTATGTAAAGTTATGGCACCAAGCACTACACAGGCAAAGTTATGATAGGAAAGAGAACAGTAAGTGAAGACTGAAAAAAAAAAAAAAAAAAGATTTTGACTTTTTCTTTGTTCTTTTTGTAGTTGGTGACAGTCTAAAACCTTCACTAAAGTGCAAAAAGGAAGGAGAATAGCCTAGAAAAATATAAAAAAAAATAAAAATAAAAATAAAGAATAAAAGGAAGAAAAAAGGAAAGAGAAGAGCAGGAATGGTTTTTTTTCTCTTTTGAATTAGTGAAAGTCTACAATCTTTCACTGTTTAAAAGGAAAGCCTGAAAAAACAGAACATCATTTGTATATTTTTCATTTGGAGATGATTTAAAAGAAACAAAAGCTCTGCAACACTACTGCCAAAGTTGAAAGGAAAATTATCAGTACGTGAGTACTCGCTAATTGAAGGTGCAATAACAATGTCCAACCAAAAGTTTAAGTAGTTGCAAGAATGTAGAGCAATCTACATGAGAGAGAGAACATGTATCAACCAAAAAAAAAAAAAAAAAACGGAAACGAAAAAATGATCCCACCTTTTTTTTACCATCAATACATCCAGATCGTTGGCAAAACCAATAAACAAACAGGACTGCAAAAACACCCACGAGGACCATCCAACAGTTCTTGAGCAATATATAGCTGCAGAGGGGAAAAACTATCATCTTAAAGTTATGTTTTTAGCTTAGAGAACCGTAAGTGAAGACTGAGAGAGAGAGAGAGAGTGAGAGATGACTTTTTTTCTTTTCATAGTTGGTAACAGCCTGAAATCTGCACTAAAATGTAAAAAGGAAAGAGGATAGCCTACAAAAACAAAAACAAAAAAAAAAAAAAGGGAAAGAGAAGCCAGTGTGATGAAAAAAAAAAAAATAAAAAATAAAAAAAAAAAAAAAAAAAACCAGTTACTGGACCAGAACTCAGAACTGCAAACAACAAAAATTAAAATGCCAAACAGTACTGCGGTCAACACTTACGAAATATAAACAAGGGCAAGAAATGTGAGTGAAAGGAACTTCAGGCTTGAGATACCTCTTATGCAGCTCCAGTAGAAGCAAGGAGGAGATGCTTAGGCTTTTGATTTAGGCAACTCTTCCTGCCTCTCTGTGCTGGGAGTTTGAAGATGGCCTTTGACAGAATGAGGATGCACATGCTGAAGATGAAACTACTACTATTAAGGAATTGGGAGAAGCCAGGAAAGACACAGTAGCTAGGTAAAGGCGAGGGCATTATCGGCAAAGACAGAAGAAGCAAGAAATTGGGGAACCTACACTACAGTGTGCCAGTCTAATCAGTTGGGAAAAATGATAGTCCCTACGGAGAAAATATCCGAGGTGGCTGAACTTGGTGGGCCACAAAATTAAACCACAGAGATCCCAGACAGGGTAAAGGCGAAAAAACTCAACCTCCTAAGAAAACGAGTCGTTACTTTTTCCCGTGCCGCAGTTTTCGTTTGTGATGTTCCTGGGACTGGCATCTTCATCCATGACAGTTGGTCCAATAGTGCCACTCTCGTCTTATGCCCTCACTTACGGAATTGTTTATCTCAACAAAATTTAAAAATAGCTGCCAAACAACCAAATTGTTGCATGAAACTCGTATAGCCAACAAAGACAAATAAATGAAGATTATGCAATCATTTGGATAGGTAAAAATAATGGTCTTATCATTATTAACAGCACAAAGAAGACCCTTTGCAAGGAGAAGAATGACATAACACTAACTTCAAGAATCAACAACTGAATATACAGCATAAACCCTCAGTCGATGCTCCCATAAAATAAGATGCCCGTCAACCCGTACTATCACAAATAAGATTCTTCGCAACTACACATACAGAAACTCTCAATTGTGGGGCATCGGAAGTCTAAATGGACTCCCATCAATTCCTCCGCTTCCAAAACAATTTCTAGAGATTGTATTTACAAAGGACAAGCTGGAAGAACATCTAATTCTTGCAACATGTCATTCCATATCTTCTACATAAAACACAAGCTCTAAAGCTAAAAAACTCCAAGGCTAAAGTTCTCGACTGAGACAAAAAAAACACACAGAAAATGAGATAAGATATACAATCTTACAATTAGCAGCCTTTCTGTTGAAATTATTCTTATGAAACCTAAACCACAAAAGAACTAACATAAATACTCAGAGACATAATACTACAAAGAAAATGGGATGGTCCTTCTGCATTCTTCAACAAGCAAGTACATATCAGGACAGCTGAAAACAGACAAGAAATCAGGAAACAAACCCCTTGTAAATGAAAATACCGAAATACTTAAGCACGAAGCCATTTACACTTGAAAAAAAAAAAAAAAAACTGCAGTCAACTCTCTATAAGCAAACTGCTGCTGCAAAAGTTCCTTCAAAATGATATACCGCCTTCAAGCAGCCAGGAGCTACGAGGCCTCTCCCATTGTTGTCCCAGACCACTCATCCCTTCCTTCCCCTTTGCCCTGCCCGGCGAGGTCTGATGAAACTACAAGATCCAACAGCATTCCCACAATTAGATAATGAAATCATAACAACAGAAGTGTTCTGAAACATGTTAAGCTCCATCAATTTTAGCAACAATCCCATTCCATCCAGTCAGCAAGCAAAAGGAGAATTACAATCTAAAAATGGAAGCAATACTTACTGAAATAAAAACCATGTGTTAGTATGAGAATAGAAAGTTCCACTGCTCAGCCACACCACTGGACCTGTCCTTTAATGAGTCCATTTCCTTGTAAACTAACAAAAACACGAAGAAAAAAAAAAAAAAAAAAGAGGCGAACACAAGCAGCAGTCTCATAAAAAGGCAGAAAATGTTCTCCATGCTGCCTAAATCCACATATAGATAAACATATTTAGATATATCACAAATATAAACTAAGAAAAACAAATAAACAAATCTGTCATACCCCGATATTTTTAAAGGATTTATTAATTAGGATTAATTATTTTATTTTATTTTTCAATGATTTATTTTATTTTATTGAGTGCTAGATTAATTATCTTATTTTAATTAAGTTATATTTCGTGATTATGTATGATGATTGATTGTTTGTGTGGTTGATTATTGATTGAATTATTGGTGTGTTGATTTTATTGGTATTGTGTGACTTAGTTGTAAATTCTTGTTTGTTTATGTACTTCATGTAATTAGTTATTTTAATTTTAGTATTTAATTAATTATCTTATTTATTTAAATTAATTGGATTGGGTTTAAGGAAAGTTGGACCAAAAGATGTGGTCTTGGGTTTGTATGAAACCTTATTGGATTACTTAATGAAGGCCGGTGGTTATTTAATTATTTAAATGATCACTTTTGTATTAATTATAAATATATATATATATATATATATATATATATTTATAATTATATATAAATATAATTAATTAATAATTGTTATGGAAAGATATATATATAGATATATATTTATTGATATTTATAAGTATATATGATTTAATTAACTAATGAGTTAATTATGGAAGGAATATATATTTATATATATATATATGTTTATAGATATAAATTATTTAAAGATTATTATTTTAATTCATAATACTAGTTGGAATAGGATTTGGAATTTAAGGTGTATAAAAATACACATAAGGCTTTAGGGTTAAAGGTTTTACACGTTAGAAAAATAAAACAGACAGAGAGAGAGGAAGAAGAAGGGCTGACAAGGAGGAGGTCGGATCTGAAAAGGAGGACGTCGGAATTGGAAGAGATAATTAAAGCTTAAAGCATCGGTTTCGTTTCGAAACTTTCAGGCGAGTTTTCTCTAACTTTCCTCTTAGAACTCATAAGGATTTCACCTTGAGTATCAAGGCTTTAATTAAATTTATTTGTTTAAAAATTATGGTTAGATCGGAATAATTAAAAAGTATAAACTATTATATTTGATTTTTAGATTATTGGATTTTAATTGATATATATAGGTGTTATGTATATTTTAAAATCAATCTATAGGTGGATTTGTGACCCAAGAGAGTTAATTATGGTTTCTTTATTTTCTAGAATTGTTCTGTAATTTTCTGGAATTTTTCTGATATTTTTAGGAATTTATTAGGATTTATTTTCCTATTATTTGTTAGGAAAATAATTATATATATACTAGGTAACTGATCCAGTGCGGCGCGGTGTAGGATAATAGGGTGTATACGCCAATTAGGGCCATTTGATTAATTAAACTTATGTGAATTGATATGGTGCATCGCGGCGCATAAAACTTTGGTGCGCATGTGTATCTGGACCATAGAAGTGGTCTGGTCAACTATGGGATTATTTGGTGTATTGCAGACCATGAGAAGATGGTGCACTCGCTGATTTGGACCTTAGATCTATTATAGTTAATAGAAAATAATCTAGTGTGAGCGTGTTCATTTGCGCACTCATTTATGACCATTGGATGCGGCATAAAGGAAGTGATGGATTCAGTGTGGTGAGCTCACGGTAGCTGAAAGAGCTTAGCCAATACCAGCACACAAGGAGGCTTGAATCCAGCGCGTGCAAGTGCATAGTAAGCACGTGGGCGCGCGTGGGAAACTATGTTGGCCTAATTCGACACTAGAAATTAAAACGGTCATAACTTAATCATTTTAAATCGAAATTGGGTCATTCTTGAGCTCAAATTCAAGGATTTTTCGTCTTCTTTCCAATGGTACCAATTTCATTATCAGATTCCCATCCTACTAGGAAATATTTATGTTTTAGTGAGAAAGTGTCGGAAAACTATTTAAACCAATATGGAGTATTTAAAGGAAACTATTTCTGACATATTTAGTTGCACTAATTTGTGTAAATATAATAAATTAATAATTTGTTATGGAAGGAAGTGTGTATATATATATATATATATATATATGTATGTATGTATATTGATTTTAAATAATCAAGGATTATTAAAGAAGGTGTTAAACACATATATACATTAAATAACATATGTGTAGGTATATATATATATAAATCATTTAAGATGATTAATATTATCATTCTTATTTGGCATATCTTAATAGGCTGGTTGTTAAATTAATGATATGCGTATAATATGCATGTGATGGCTATGTATGATTTAGCGTATTGTTAATTTTAAAGTTAATTCATGGTTAAAGTGTGGGCATGGATGAATTGTCAAATGATTAAATATATTACCTAAATATTTGTATGAATAGAATACATATATGGAAAGCATGGATGAATTGCTAATTAAATGTATGAATAAATATACCTGTGGAGGCATGGTTGAATTGCCAATGTATAAATATACATACACGGAGGCATAGTTGAATTGCCAATGTATAAATAAATATACTTATGGAGGCATGGTTGAATTGCCAATATATAAATAAAAATATTTACAATGGCATGGTTGATTTGCCAAAGCATAATTACGTTGTTATGTGTTAGATGATTAAAATATCATCTATGGTTGTTGTATGTATGGATTGGATTAGGGTTAGATATTCTTAAATGAGAATAGTTTAGTACTTACTGGTTAGTGTATTATTTTACATTAATAAAATAATATTGGGAAAGACGTGGATGATTTGTCAAAACTTGGATTTTGGATATGTGATTTAAACAATTAAAATCATTATCGGGTTGGGATTAAATAGAGTATTTCTTTTATTATAATTTGTTGTTTAAATGATTAAACAACTGACTAGGATGGGATTAAGGTCAAAGGAGTTTTTATAAAATGAAATGGTAGATTGGTCTAGGTATGAATATTATTTTAATAATTATTTAATAGGTATGGAAATTTAATAAACCTATTAATGGATGTGATTAGTATAGTATATATAATTATATATAGACATGTATATCGTGCTTTATTAAAGTTAAAACTTTATTAGGTTTGGTTTTGATCAGAGATGATCTGCTTATTGGTTTTCAGAGGCCTGGTAGAGTGAACTTGCTCGTAAGGTTTAACCCACGATTTATTTTTCAGGTTATTAGAGGTTCCAGTCTCGAGGTTGAGGATCCGCAGCTGGGAGACTGTCATTCGTCTATTCATCTTGTGTACTTTTAAATAGTATTGGATTATTGGATAATGTTTTAAGGGGTCCTTGAGTTATGGGATTTCCGAATTGTAATTGTTGGAGAATCATTAAGTAATATTTATTTATTAGTTTTTTTCAGCGGTTTATTTATTCTTTATTATTCATATTTGTATTCTGTGCTTGTTAAATACTTAAATTGTTTTGATATCCCTTGATTTTGTGCGCGGACTTGATCAATCCGTGTTCCAAAATTAGGGGGTATCACAAAATCCCAATCATAAACAAGGATAAACTTACAAGTCTTCACCATGAGTCGGTATTAGAAGAAAGAAGCATCACACTACATCTAAGTTGCACCAAGTATTCTAGAAATATTGTTCAGCGTTATATTTTGACAACATAAATGGATATATCACAAATATAAACTAACAAAAACAAATAAACAAATCCCAATCATAAACAAGAATAAAATTACAGAAATAGATTTACAGTCAAATCAATTAAGTTGCATCAAGTATTCTAAAAATTTTGTTCAGCATTATATTTTAACCTCAATACCAACCGTGAAGGTCACCCATAATGCCCCAAAAGAAATAGATATACAGTCAACTCAATTAAAACCCCAAAGAACATGTGCATAAACAATGCTACATAAAATACAACGTAAAGTTAACCAAACCTTCAGTTCAAATCGCCAAGGTTAAGAAAGTTAGACAAGATGCACACAATTACCAAGAAGGCGGTACTTTATATATTCCATGCTTATTCCATGATCAAAATAAAAAAATGTAAAACCACCCCCAGGGCCCCACCAATGACGAAGGAGCTTCCACTGAAAAGAATTATGTCTCCGACAACAAATATAATAAGACAATCAACATAAAGTCACCCACAAATATGAGATACAAAAATCGACTAAATCTTAAAGATGATGTTAGGAAGACCCCCCCCACACCCAAATATATATGTATGTATGTATATATGTACGTATATATATGAGATATGGCAACAGCAAAACTTGAGGTACTTAAGTCCCACCTATTTTAGCTATAGCCCGCTCTCATCTAGAATGGCAGCAGGAAAAAAAAAAAAAAGTTAATACACAGAAATATTGAATGAACTAGTTCTGTTTTGTTGCTAAATGTACAAGTAGTTGGGGAAAATTAGTTAGTAACTGTTTAAAGAAAGTAGAACTGTAGAATGCGAACCGCTAAAAAAGTGGGGACCAGGGAACATGCTCCACAAAAGGAAAAACATTAACAGCAAACAGGGAACTGCTGCCAGCAAACACCATGAAGCAAAGAGCGAGCAGAAGCTCCACCACCCACAAAATGGACAGTACTGACAAGCCTAAATATTTCCAAGGGAAGGTATAGTGCCTCGTCAGATGCCATAAAAAACTAAGCAACCACTGAAATCCTGGAAATGAAACAACAAGCAATTAAACACCAACACTTCAACCAACTAGTCAACCAAGTCACACACACACAAAACAACTCAGCTGCTGAAATGGCCTAATTTCATAAATGATACAACATGAAATGGAAGTTGACCATCCAAAAGTTCAGCTCAGACCAAGCAGTGAATGCTTTCTTACCAACCATGCAGAAGTTTTTAATTGAAAATATAAATTAGTGCAGTAGGTGGAGCCCACAACTCAACAAACTGCTTGCACACAACTGCACCAGAAGGCTAAGCAGCTTCACCAAGGATAAAAATGAACAGAAGAGTTTTCACAAGCATGTCATAATCACAAGTGCAATGATGATGCCTCTTCAGAACTCTACAACATAAATGTGTCAATGACTACATAATCAAATACATAATGACTTCAAATGAGGCAACAAAAGATTTCTGTAAATAGCCACATTATTGAAAAAGATAAATATATGATGGTTCACACCTGGCGGCTCGACAACAGGCACTCCAAAGAGTTCAGCCTTTGTACTGTTAAAACAAAGAAACCGTGATATCCCTACCAAAAATAGGGGGGGAAAAAAAGAAAAAAAAAAACCATGTTAACAGACATCATAACAGCGAAATTCCATATACAATAGAAAAATAATAATAATAATAGAATACCCAACGCTGGATTAATTGGGGGTTTAAGAAATCCACTGCTCCATCTGTTCATCCCCGAAACTGTCTCCAAGGTGGTTCATACGCATCTATTCAATCATTTTACTTCCTTTAGCTGGATACCACGTTCATAAAAATCTCCCTTCTGTTAATTAGCGAGTTACAGGCATCTATTACGATAATACCTCATGAATCAAAAACTCTTAATTGGTATTTTTCTTATCCTCGTATTTTGCAAAAACTCATGAATCAAAAACTCTTAATTGGTAATTTTTCTATCCTTCTACCTTACAAAAATGGAGAGTTGATATGCCAAAGCTGACACCTGATATTCCAGGGTGCCCTATCAGAGAAAGAGAAGAGCTACAAACAAATATAGGGATGACAGATCAGAAAACACAAAAAAAAATTAAAAACAAAAAACACAGAATGGGGTGCGAAAGGAAAGAAAGAAAAGTTGACAAAAGAATGAGGTCGATCCTCATTCTGAATTCCAAATGTTGCCAAGTATTCTCTGCCTACGTATAACATTAAAATTATGGAATTCGGTCAACAATACTAAAAATACCAACCCCATACTAGGAGTTGGGATCATTGAATAGCAAGTGGCCCCATACAACTATCGTAAGTCTAATTCAAAGTTTAGTCATTGTGTCTAGGGTAGGGGGAAAATGCAGAGAAGTATCAAATATTTTCTCTCTGTGATTAACCATGCAGAATTAATCTAAAAATGTTTTGGTTAACTGTTCACAGAACATCCATGCAGGAGCTTTACTTAAGCATCTTTATGTAAACATGTAAATAAACTAGATGCAAGCAAACAATGGAAGCAATCTGACAGCAACTCCACAAAGGAAAAAAGAAACAGAAAAATGATAAGAAGGTTCTTACAAGATTTCAACCTCCCAAGGAAATAAATCATTACTCTTTGCCTCACCCACTCCTCTCCAAAATGGAAAAACAAAAGAAAACTGTTTTAGTCATATAGACAAGTTAAATGCGCGCAGTCAAGCTATACTACACTTAGCACAACCCTCCTCTTTGGAACTGGTGTGCAACGATATTGCACTAAGCCCAAAATACAGAGAATTACATCATGAAAGAAAGGAAGCACAGAGCACAGCATAGTCTTTGCAAGAAACCCTTCAAAGCATAACCATTCATGAATTATGTACTACAGCGAAGTCTTCACATAGAACCCTACAAATCAGAAAATTCATTAATTTTGGACCGTGTTAATGTTATAAACTATAGTTAATAGCTTAATTACTTCCAACAAATCAAAAGAGAAGAATGAAAAAGAAAGTATTCATGGTTCACATCCAGCGGGCTGGACAACGGGTGCTCTAAAGAGTTGAGACTTTGTAATTCGTTAAGCCACCGAAACTAACTCCAAGGTCTCTCCTACAAGGAAATTGACACGGAAAGAGAGAAGATTCATAATGAATTTTTCAGCCACTCTTCAAGGACAGTCTAAAATCATCAATGATGTGTAAGAGGAGGGCTTTCAAAATAGAACATCAATTGTATATATATAATCTCGATCTCCAAGCAGGAGTCCAGCTATCAAAACAGCAAACATAACTTAGAAAACAGCCAACACCTCCTCCAGATAGAGTGGGCAAATGATGTAGCAACAACTATACTTAAAACCAAACAGTAATGTTGTCCTCAAGCTCATCAATGTTCATCAGAAAAAATTAATAATCCTGCCAAATACACAACATTGTTGCAATCATATGGTAGTCAACATAAACAAATAAATGAAGATTGAGCAATCATATGGATAGGAAAAAATAACATTTGAAACATTATTAACTGCACAAAGAACACAGATATGGCCGGCACCAACTCTATAAATTTCTTTCTTATACCCTACTCCTAGTCATATTACAGAGAGCAAAGAATAAGAAGCAAAATAAATCCAGGAAAGTGCAGCACTACATATTGTTCATGTTTTTGTTCTACCATGGAACTGCAAACAAAAACTAAGCTGCAGCTTTAGCATACAATAGGATAGTATAGATAAAAGGCTTCACATCAATACTATGTTTTAGCATAGAAAATAAAATTGTATATAATAGGAAGAATACAAGACATATCACCCAGAGATCAATCAAAAAGGGAAGAACTCAGGGATAATTACAAAATTAAAGAACAAATTAAGTCTTCAATTAAAATGATAGACCATTTGCAAGGAGAAGAACATCAATTATTTATATATAATCCCAATACCTTTCAAACACAGGAGTTCAGCTATCAAAACAGCAAACATAATTTAGAAAACTGCCAACACCTCCTCCAGATAGAGTGGGCAAATGATGTAGCAATAACTGTACTTAAAACCAAATAGTAATGTTGTCCCCAAGCTCATCAATGTTCATCAGAAAAATTAAGAATCCTGCCAGATACACAACATTGCTGCATGAAATTTTTACAATCAACATAATTACATAAATGAAAACTGTAATGATAAGCAAATAGGATAAGAAGACACTTCTTTACTTGAAAGGCGAGAATACTTAAGGAATTAGTTATTAATATTGGAAACTGTCATGTAGCGGAGACAGGATTTGAACCCGTGATCTCAAGGTGATGACCTTGCAAGCTACCAAACTGCTCTACTCCGCACTATAGAGAATAGACAAACAAGGATTGAATGTACCCCTTTACTATTCCAATAATAATCAAGGAGAAACCTTCAAAATCAATCATTAAAATCTAGTATCCCATACGCACAATTGCCAGTAATGAAATCAAAAATGGATGTAAAACACACGAGATAAATAGTAAAAAATTTGAAGAATCATTATTAATTTTACCTTTCAATGAGTCACCATTTTCCTCAGATCTGATTATAATCTCACCAACCTAAAATGGAAAATTTGAATATCAAATTCATCTTCGTTTGAAAGTATTCCCCAGAAATTGTATGAAACTGATAGATGTACTTACATTCATATACATACCTACATGTTTGAAAAACTAACTATACAAACATGATAAATTACCACCAACAATTCTAAGAAAATATTTAAAAAATTAAAAAAAAAAATCAACAGAAGAATCTTAAAGTAATCAAAGCAAAACAGTGGCGAATTTGTTCTTGGTACAGAAATAAGGGACTGAACACACAAATATTCATATACAGATTCCTGTGATATATGTGTCTATACAGAGAAGGGGAAAACCGACACCAAAGACTGGCCAATATCCAGTGGGTAGGGGTAGGGGTAGGGGTAGGAAGAGGATTGAAGGGTTGTGGTGGGTGTTTGAAGTTGTGGTTAGGGTTAGGGTTAGGGTTAGGGTTAGGGAGAGGGGGTAGGAAGAGGATGGTTAGGGTTTGTAGTGAATAGCTAGAAGCATGTGTGTCTATATAGAGAGAGAAAAGAAGGGGAACGCAAACACTAATGACCAATTTCCAGTGGGTGGTTGTGGTGGGCGTTTGGAAGTTAGGGTTAGGGTTTGGGAGAAGGGTAGGAAGAGGATTGAAGGGTTGTGGTGTGATTTTAGGGTTAAGGTTAGGGTTCGGGTTAGGGGGTAGGAAGAGGATTAAAGGGTTAGGGTTTGTAGTTAATGGCTAGAAAAGGCAGAGACGTGTTGAGATTAGAGTTTACCTTCTGTGGATTTAGGAACGAGAGGCGTTTGGAGGAGATGCGCCGGTGGAAGAGAGGAGAGAGAACCAACAGGGTGAGACAGCGATCGCGATCGCGATCGCCGTTGAAGAGGAGAAGATAGTGCATTCACAGGCCCTCTCTGATTTTCTCCTCTTCTTCAATGGACTCACTCTTAAGATATATAGAGACTATTGCATATATGCAGTATAAACTAATGTTTTTTTTTTTTAAATGGATCCTTAAATAGTTACTAAAGAGCATTTGACTCCAAATTTTGAATTTCTGGTATCTGGTCACTGTTTCAAAAATTAGAAATCCTTGAACCAAACGAATCCCTATCACTATTTAAGAGAATTGAAAATTCCCCAACACATTTTACCTACCCAAAACAGATATTTTAAAACTGGGTGTTGTAAAATTAGTCTTTTTTACCCAAAACCCTCCTTCATACATAGCCTTCAAGATGAAAATGAAGCCATTCGCAACTAAAAAAATGTGTAAATGGGGTGGGGTGGGCGAGCATGTGTTCACTTATATCCTAACGAAGTGGGTGCGGGCTTTTAGAAATTAATCCGTCTCGGGTATGGACTTTTAGAAATCAACCCGTCCTGAGTATGGAATTCCGAGTAATTATACTGGACGGGAATGAGTTCAAGCAAACTCATGCCATACTCACCCCGTTGCAATCCCTACTCTCAGTTCTTGTACTGACCCCTTGTATTCTTAGTATTCACAATAACAACCTTGCTCATTGTACTTTTAGGTTTGTAATGTTAGCCATATTTGTCCATAAGTTCCATGGACCTCAAGCAAAAAAAGTGAAGCATTCCTATGATGAGACAATGGGATCATGATTAGAGTTGTGTTCTAACACATTTTAAGCCCGGCCAGTTTCAGCACTAATCCTCTTAATTATAGAAACAATACCAAATTAATTATCAATTATTAATCATTTAGGAGTATTTACAGAAACAATTTACTATAGTTCTTAGACTTTAATGTAGCTGTGTCCATAAACCCATCCGCAGGTAAAGACTGCAGTGAATCCTAAAAGTTTAACCAGATGGCAAACTCCATGAAGGAGAGACCTGATGTAAGTAAACAATGGAAACAAATTACAATAGACAAGGAAGGAAAAAAATAAAAATAGAGAGAAACTCCATGAAGAAAAAAGAAACAGAATAAAGAATTAGAAGCTTGTCACAAGATTTTATCTTCCAAAAGCAATGCCAAAAAAACTTTTTTTTCTTTTTGGATAATGTTTAGTTACTCACTAGTGAGGTGAGAAGGATAAAGCTACTCACCCCTATATGATTAGGGATGGCAAATTCTCCATCCCCACTGAGGCCCCGGGCCCACCCCGTTTATAGCGGAGATGGGTATCATTTTAACTAAACGGGGATGGGGATGGGGGCAAATTTTGAATCCCCGTCGGGGTCGGGGTCGGGGTCAGGACTGGGGCCGGGAATGGGATAAACTCGCCCTGCTCCGCCCCAATTAAGTGTGAAGTCACTAATATACCCTTACATATAATAATTTATTACTAAATTAGATTTATTATATATATGAAAATAAGAAAAAATGTGTTTTTTTTAATAAAAAAAATTATGAAGCCAAGGCCGGGGCCGAGATAGGGATAAGGTGTCGGGGGCTGGGGCGGGTATAGGGATTCTGGCAAAATTTTAAGAGGGAATGGGGGCGGGGATGGGGAATGAAAAATGCATCAGGGATGGGGATGGGGATGGGGATGGGGAATGGAATCCCCGCCCTACCCCGCCCCATTGCCATCCCTATATGTGATCCAATAATAAAATAACACATTACATTTAATAATAAAATAATCCACACCTAAAAATACTATATACTTTTATTCAATGGTTGATCCGAGAAAGTAGAGAAATGTGTGAATTATTTTATTATTGAAAATAATGTGTTATTTTGTTATTGAACCACATAGGGATGCTAACTTCACCTACTCACCAGTGAGTAGTTAAGCATTGTCCTTTCTTTTTATAGTTGGTGGGAGTCTAAAATCCTCACTCATGTTTAAAAGGGAAAGAAATAATAATAATAATAATAATAAATAAAATAGAAAAAAGAAAAAAAAAAAAAAAAGGAGAGAGAGGAGCGGGATTTTTTTTCTTCATATATTTAATCATATTACTTCTTTTTCTTTTTAAACTCTTAACTGGTATTTATCTTATCCTCCCAATTTGCAAAAACTTGTGATCAAAAACACTTACAACTTGGAAAAAAAACACTTAATTGGTATTTTTCTTATCCTCAAACCTTGCAAAAATGCTAAGTTGATATACCAAACATCCATATTGACCAAAACTAACAGCTGATATGCCAGGGTGTTAACAGAGAAGGAGAAGAACTAGAGACAAATAACCAAAAGACTGAAATTATAGAAACAATTTATTATTGTTCCTAGACCATTCATGCAGGAGCATAATGTCACGCCCCGCCTATGGAGGTTGTGCCACGCAGACGACACGCAGACGCTGAGGAGGACGCTGCATGGCAATTGCATGGCAAGTGGAGTTTCTAGAATCTTCCGGAATAATCTAGAGTTATGTGGAAGATTCTAGATATGTGTAGAAATGTGTAGAAGTGTGTGGAAGGTTCTAGAGTTCTCCAGAGTTATGTGGAGTAGTATGGAGAATTCTAGAATGTTGTAGATACTAGTAGATAAGTATGGAAGTGTGAAGAAGGTGGGAGAAGATTCTAGATAATCAATCTCCACCGTTGGTTAGAATGCATCCTAGCCGTCCATTAGGGATGGGGATGCCTATAAATAGAGGTAGGACTTCATTTTGTAGGGAACAAGTCCTGGAGTGAGTCTTGAGAGCCTTGTAGAGAGCTTGAGTGTTAGCCTTGTACAAAGCATTCTTTGAAGTAATAGAAGTGTTCTTTCCTTGCCAACTTAAGTGCCTTAGTGTGTGTGAGTGTGCAAGCCAAGTGAGGAGAGGGCGAGGGCAACTACAACACTAGTAAGCGCACGAGGGGAGTGTGTTGGCTAAGGTGTGCACGGGAGTTAGGCTGACCAAGTACTTGCGAGAGTGAAAACAACGTCTTGGTGCCGCACGGGAGCAGCTAGAGTGGTGCTGAAACTCTAAGCCCGTGACAGTTGGTATCAGAGCCAGGTTCGTCAAGGGAGCTTTGTTGGAGTAGACATGGCTAGCGAAGGAGACCACCAAGTCCACATCTTAGAGCAGAGCTTGGAGGAGAAGCTTGCCACACACTTGGTCTACACGGAGACCAAGTTTAACAGGCTCGAGAGAAAGATGGCGGAACTCTACGAGCTGATTGACGGCACTGCCAACAAGGCGCGAGAGAAGGAAAGGGACTTGTATGATCAGGTAGACGACTTGCGCATGGAGATTGCCGAGTGCAAGAAGGAGCTCTCCCAGGCGCGCGAGGTCGTGGTGAAGCCAAGGAAGAAGAAGGCGCCGGAGCCCAAGGAGTACGATGGGGCAAGGAATGCGCGTCAGATTGACAACTTCTTCTGGCACATGGAGCGGTACTTCGAGTGCATGGAGATCGAGGATGATGAGGAGAAGGTGCAGACAGGCACTATGTACCTCACGGACACTGCTGCTCTATGGTGGAGACAGCGCTTCACCGGTAGGAGCGCAAGAGCAGTTGATACATGGGAGGAGTTCAAGAGGCAGCTCAAGAGGCAGTTCTACCCTGAGTGCATTGAGGACCTCGCCATGATCAACCTAAGGCGCCTGAAGCAGAAGGGCAGCATAAGGGAGTATGTGAAGGAGTACTCCAACCTGATGCTGGAGATCCCAGAAATGCCGGAGCGGCAACGTGTGTGCTTGTTCATTGATGGGCTGCAGTCTTGGGTGGCCACGGAGCTAAGGAGGAGGGAGCCTAGAGACTTGGCATCCGCAATGGCTATAGCGGAGCGCCTCGAAGACTTTAGGCGCGATGACAAGAGGGCCACGTCTCCCAGGAGGGACCACGGCAAAGGTGGGGGAGACCGGCGCTTCAAGAAACGGGGCTCGCCCAAGTCTAGTGATGATGAGCACAGCGATGAGGAGAGACGCCTACGCCATGATAAAGGCAAGGACCATGGAGAGAGGTCTAAGGCTAGTGGCAAAGGGGAGCGCCGCGATAAGGGTAAGTGGGAGCCGAAGTGCTACTTGTGCGAAGGGCCGCACATATTGCGACACTGCCCCAACAAGAAGACCATGAGCGCCCTTGTGAAGGATAAGGGCAAGGGCAGGGTGGACGATGCGGGCAGCGATGAAGATAGGTGCATGGGGGCTATGCAGATGCTGAGTAGCATGGCGCATGACACCAAGAAGAAGGGCAAGGCAAAGAAGGTAGCTGGGGTGCGCTATGTGGATGCGCAGGTTGGTGGCAAAGCCGTGCAAGCGTTGGTAGACACGGGTGCTACACACAACTTCATTACCCCGGAGGAGGCGCAACGACTTGGCTTGGAGATGCGCAAGACGGAGGGCTGGATCAAGGCCGTCAATTTCGAGGAGGCACGCATGAGTAGAGTGTGCAAGGAGGTGGAGCTATGCATGCAAGGATGGAAGGGCAAGGCTGACTTCCAAGTTGCGGAGATGGACGACCACGACATGGTGCTGGGGCTGGGGTTCATGGACAGGAACAACGCCGCGCCACTACCATGCCTTGGTGCGTTGATGATACTTGGAGGCGAGGAACAAGGCCGCATGCATGGTGCCACTCGTGGGCAGGAAGGAGAGTCCAGAGGTGGCAGTCAACACGATGGAGCTCGTGAGGACTTCACATCTCCCGAAGGGCGCTCGTACGTTTGGGCCAAGGACATATGCGCAAGTGCTGATGACCTGCGAGAGGCTGGGTCAGCTGAAGAAACCGTGACGAGGGCGTCACGGAAATGGGTGGGGGAGAATGTCACGCCCCGCCTATGGAGGTTGTGCCACGCAGGCGACACGCAGACGCTGAGGAGGACGCTGCATGGCAATTGCATGGCAAGTGGAGTTTCTAGAGTCTTCCGGAATAATCTAGAGTTATGTGGAAGATTTTAGATATGTGTAGAAATGTGTAGAAGTGTGTGGAAGGTTCTAGAGTTCTTCAGAGTTATGTGGAGTAGTATGGAGAATTCTAGAATGTTGTAGATACTAGTAGATAAGTATGGAAGTGTGAAGAAGGTGGGAGAAGATTCTAGATAATCAATCTCCACCGTTGGTTAGAATGCATCCTAGCCGTCCATTAGGGATGGGGATGCCTATAAATAGAGGTATGACTTCATTT